TGAGAAGCAAAGAGACAGAAAGGGACCTCCCAATGTCCCCTTCAAGAGCACTACCGGAGTAATCTAACTTTCTCCAAATAGGCTCCATCTCCTAAAAGATTCAGCACCTCCCAGTAGTTACCACAGGCTAGGGAGCAAGCTTTCAACATATGGCCTTTAGGAGAGATTTAAGGTCCAAAGGATAATAAGACTACATGCAAAAATGTAGATCACACACAAATAGTGAAATTGTAATTTCAGGTAAAAATTGCAATTGGGGCCTTTTGATATATATATATATATATATATATGCATTACATTTATATATAATTTATATATTTTTTAGGGGGGTGGTCAGTCGTAGGGCCTGAACTCTGGGCTTGGGTGCTGTCCCTCAGCTCTTCAGCTCAACGCTAATGCTCTACCACTTGAGAAACAGCGCCACTTCCGGCTTTCCTGCTTATGTGGTGCTGAGGAATCGAACCCAGGGCCTTATGCATGCAAGGCAAGCACTATACTACTGAGCCACCTTCCCAGCCCTAATTTACATATATTATATATAGCTATATATATTGTATACTATTATATATAGACACTATTATTGATATTATATATATAATTTCAATCATAATAGGCTTAGCCATCCATCCTGCAGGACAATTAAAGAGATGAACATTCCTGGACAGAGAAAGGAGGTTTAATTTAATATAGGTGAATCAGGAAAACAAAGGGACTCAGTGATTTCCCCCTTCCCAGGATTGTCTTTGAAAAAAAAATCTTAAGTAGGGGAAGAGTTTAAGCGCAGGATAAGAAGGTATGCAAAGTTAAAGCAACCCTGTTCAAGGTATGGCCTGTTTTGTGATTATTTCCATTTTTGTCTCTGTAGGGATTCTGAAGAAGTTATCACTTCACCATTGGAATGGAACAGGAGCAGGTTGCATGGTGGGTAACAGCTTTTTGACTATTCTCTTTAGATGATAAGAGGGTATCTTTGCTTATCTGAGAGGCAGTTTGCTTCTCATGTACATTCTTTTCTCCCTGGGGCCCAAGATAGTTGTAAAATGACAGGAATAGCTCACCTCTTAGAGCACTGATGCCAAGTGGGGGTGAGAACTGAGTGTCCAGCTTTTAGTTAATTTATAGGTCCAGAAAAATAAGCTGTTAAGCTGCCTCTTACAATACTGTGCTGTTTTATATAAGAGACCTGAGCATCCATAGATGTATATATCCACAGAAGTTCTGGACCAATCAATCCCTTGACTATTTCTATGGTGCCAAGGGAAGCCATATAGCATAAAAACATGCATATCATATTGCAACTTAAAGGATAAAAACTGCAAGGTGTTTTGAGAGTACTGAATCAGGGAAATCTTCATTTTGATGACTGCTCAAGAAGGAAGGATCCCAAGAAAAAAAGAATGCTTTTTTGTGGAAGAGTTTTTTAGGCTGGAAGTTAATGAGTAACTTTAAAGTACCAAAGTGGAAGGAGTACACCGTAGGCTACACCAAGATCCTGGGGTAGGAAAAAAGCTTGGTTGGCTTGAGAAACTAAAAGACCAATAAGGCTGGAGCACAGGAAGAGAGATCATCAAAAAGGATCCCAGGCAAGGCATTGTTGGCTATGAAAAGAACATTTGCTTTTATTTTGTGTGCTATCTACAATCATCAAGGCTCTAAGTTTTGAGTATCATTTTTCAAAGATCATTCTGGTGGTTCTAAGTATTTGATTCTTTTTGATGATATTCTAATTAGTTACTTTTAAAATCTATTTGTCACTCTAAGATTGAGATGTGTCTTAGAATCAAAGGTATTGCCATAGTTAAGTTGGTAGTATTTTTTTTTTTTTTTTTTTTGTCGGTCGTGGGACTTGAACTCTGGGCCTGGGCACTGTCCCTCAGCTCTTCAGCTCAAGGTGAGCGCTCTACCACTTGAGCTACAGCGCCACTTCCGGTTTTCTGGTGGTTTATTGGAGATAGGAGTCTCACGGTCTCTCCTGCCCGGGCTGGCTTTGAACCGCGATCCTCAAGATCTCAGCCTCCTGAGTAGCTAGGATTACAGGCGTGAGCCACCAGCGCCTGGCAAGTTGGTATTATTTTTTATTTACATCTTAGTGAACATAAGTGTGACTTACAATCAGTGGATTCTTAGGTTGAATACAGGATGATACTGAAAAATGTCTATAAAATATTAAAGTGGAGAAGAGCAGTAGGCATTTGTATATGTCAGTATGGAACCCAGAAGAACAGTGGTGGGACATCTGAAGTTTGAAAAGAAGAGGAAAAGCTAATGAAGAAGACTTCATTGTAATTGTTGATGTTGTCACTAAATGCAAGACCCTACAGGACAGTCTCTCTTTAATAAACCTATGAGCCAAGCACTTTAATACATTTAGATATTAATCTATGTCACTGCTATTTTGGAAGTCATTCAGAATAATCTGTATTTATTGAGAAATAATATATTGATTACTCACCTGCTCTTTCACCCCAAGAAATCCTATATGCATACAAACAAATATATGCCTTTCAGGTCTTCAAAGAAGTATTTTAACTTATTGTGATTTGAGACAGAAAATAAGCAAGCGTGTATTGAATCTTAACCTAGAGTCATTGTCTAAAGGCATAAAAGGAAAAACAGTAGCAGTAATGCAGCATCCATAATTACCAACAGAAATGTGTAAAAATCCTAAAGAGCTTGTAGCCCATTTGTGTGTCATATTCCTATAACATAAACAGAACCCTAGCTGGTAGTAAAGCTAATTCATCAGCCTTTCATTTACCATTTGTCAAGTCACACATGTAGAATCTTAACCTGTCCTTTTCTTTATTTTTTCCCCTTTATATTTCAAATGTCATAGCACATAAACTTAATTTCAGCATATGCTCCAGGCTATGGTGTTTAATGAGGGGGATTTTAAAATGCCTCCCACCCCTTACCAGGGACCACTTGGCAGCATCTGAAGTTTTAGTTGTCATAGTTGAAGATAGGGTGTTAATGGCATTCAGTGGGCAGCAAGTGGGTATATTCTGGAGTATCCTACAATCCCAGGACTCCTTCCTTCATCAAAACATCATCCAGTCCAAATACCTGTGGTGTAGATTGACAATCCTGTGTACTGGGAAGAATTAAATGTGTATCAACTTTCTGGGAGCAAAGTCCACAGCTTTTACCAACTTTTCAAAGGAGCTAAGACTCAAGCTTTTGTATTCACTTAGCCTATGCAAAAAGCAACATGTTAATCCTACTTTACAATAGAAGTCACCTCTCTAGTAAAGACTTCTTCAGCCTTCACTGGCCCTTTCTACTGCTGTCATTGATGGCTAAACAGAGCTCACTTGATTTTTCCATCTCTTTGTCTTCCAAGTACCTTGTTTCAGTATCAGCTAGATTCTTACCACTATTTTGTTTGTTTTTGGTTCCATGCTGGGGCTTGAACTCAGGGCCTGGCTGCTGTCCCTTAGCTTTTCCACCAAGATTAGTGCTCTATCACTTAAGCCACAGATTCACTTCCAGTTTGCTCTTTTGTAGTTAATTGTAAGAGTCTCATGGATTTTCCTGCCTAGGCTGGATTTAAACCAGAATAGTCAGACTTCATCCTCTTGACTAGCCAAGATTACAGGCCAGCCACCATGTGTTCTTACAACTATTCTATCTAACTATTTTATCTATCTGTTAATGATTAACCTATTGTTTCAGGAAGCATTGATTTGACACTTGCTTTCATTAGTTCATTTGGTCAATATAATTTACTCAATGCCTGCTACTGCTGGTCACTGAATACACAAGTGCTCAAAATGAGCTTAATCTAGCATGGGAGAGCCAGTAACTAAACTTAAATGTGTGACTTGCATTGCAGTAGGGCAGACTGTGCAAAGGTGAGTTGTAACCAAGGCGAGGAGGTAAATTGCACACTCAGATCATTGCACACTGTTTCATTTAGTATTTTATTCCACTTAAATGCAGAGGGTAGCTAATACCTTTCTGGCTAGTTTTAAATACTTCTGTTATCCATATACAGCCAAGCCTAGGTAAATTAAGATAATCAAATTCAACTAGCATTTCCTGGGCGCTGAAAGGTAAATCTGGCTAGGCATTGGTTGGGAATATCAAAGCAAACAAATATAAAGGCTTCCTTTTGGTAAGGAAGTGGGGTGGGGGGAGAGGGGGATGTCAACGACAGATCTAATTAGAAACCAACGTGGTACAGAAGGAGGGTAACGATGCTGAAGCTGCTGCCCAAATGTGGTTTGAGGTCATCAGCAGATGCAACATCGTTGTTGCAACTGCCACCCCTTGTTCGGGCAATTTAAGGTTTGCTGCTTGGAAATTGAAAGAGAAAAAAAAAAATTTCACTCTTCCCCTGAGTATTAGCAACTCAACGTACCAAGTCGGCCCAGCTAGCCTCGGAGGGCTGGTCGGCAGTGTGAGGGGACTGTCGGCCTTGAATTCCAAACTCACTACAACGCGCCACTGGTTTGCGCGGGAGTCAGGTAAAGGGCTGCTGCGGAGAACAAAGGGGCGACGCTGCCCGCCAGGCCTCGGCCCGGCCGGGCTCCCGGCGGCGCCAGGGAGGGTTCCGGCGGGTGGCCCGGGCCGCGCGGTCGGCTGGCTCCGCAGGTCCGTCCGGGCTGGGACCGAGACCGGCACGCCCGGCAGGGAGCGCGCGGGGAGGGTCGCGGGCACCGAGGCCGGGCCACCCGCCAGGCGAGTGAGCGAACAAGCGGACTCCTTGTGAAACACGCCTCCACCCGGTCAGCCGCCAGGACCGAGATCACGCGGCCGCCAGGGACGCACAGAGACGCCGCCCACCGAGAGCACGCGGAAGACGGACGCCCAGGGCCAGAGGGCGACGTCCCCTGCAGTTCCCGTCGGCCAGGCCCCGCCCTCTCGCGCTTATGTAATAGCGACGCACTATCATTGGTCCACACGACCGGAAAAGCGCAGGCGTGCACGCTGGGCGGGGCGAGGAGGCCTCTGCAGGAAGGCAAGGGGGCGGGGACCGCCAGGCACCCGAGCGACTGGGAGAGCGCGGCGCGGCGTGCGCGTGCACGAGCGAGCTGGCCTGCCTCGGCTCCGGCAGCGGCGGGCGCGCGCGGTCGCGGCGGCGGGTGTACGCGGCGCGGGCTGTTGTGCTCCCGGCTGTCCTCTTTCCCTTCCTTGGCGGGTGGAGGAGGCCGCCGAAGCGTTTCTGGGCGCCCTCCAGCTTCCTTCCCTCCGTGTCTTCCGCGGCCCTCTCGCGCTGCGCGGCCTCTCAGACGCAGGACTGTCCCGGCCCGGGTGAGCGGGGGCGGCGCTGGCGCCTCAGGACGCCCGGGAACCGGGTGGGGGCCGGCCAGTGGGGGGCCCGGGAGGTCGCCGGCGCTCCGGAGACCGGAAAGGGGGTCTCGGCGCGGGGCTGCGGGATGGAGGAGGAGCCCGGACTCCGGGTGCGGAATGGACGGGGCGCTCGGGCGCGGGCCAGGCCCTGCAGGTGGCCGGGTCGCAGGCTGGCTCTGCGGGAGCCGCGCCGTAACCTCAGCCGCCGGCGACTGCAGCCGCTCGGCCTCCGGGAGGCGCGTCTCGGGCCACGGGCCGTCCGTGAGCTCGGGCGGGAAGGTGAGGGCTGGTGGCCGGAAGGAGGAGGGGGGCTCCCGAGGCGGGAGAGGGAGGCCGGTCGGGGACGGGGCGCGGGTGCAGCCGGGTGGTTGGAGCGCTGGGCGAAGGAGACCTTTACCCCCTCCGCCTCCCTCGCCCCTCGCCCCGAATGGGTGCCTTTTTATTTCATCTCGTCTTTAAGGCTGGGATCTAGATGTGGAGCGCTGAAGGAACGTCGTCTCCCTCTCGGATGGTTCCTGGAGAGTGCGCCGATTTCCTGGATCCCAACATCTTTTTAGTGACTTTTGTTTTAAAAGGATCTCTGGGGCCGGACTGACTTGTTGCCCGAGCTCCTGATTTTCAAAGTTAACGCGCTTCTCCCCCCACCCCCTGGGAAAACTGCACTTAATCAGAGGCACATGAAAATCCAGCAGGTAGCAACTTACATAAACGACTTCTTGTCGCAGGAATCCAGGACCAGTTATGCATAAGATTTTTGTAGAAAATCGATTGGCTGAAGAGCAAGTCCTACATTGAGCTGTCCAAAAGCAGGTGGTTTGTGGATTTGCACTTCTGCTTTCGGAAAGGAAATCAATGCAGTGTGCTGTCAAAAGTTGGAGGCCTACCCCACGCAGTTAACGTGTTTCATTCAATTTCCTTTCCCTAGTGTGGTTTTCTGTCTTAAAAATAAGAACACGACTACTAGTTTTTATTAAAGCCTTACTATGCCTTTCTTGTTACTGGTGTTAGGTGACATCGGAAAATGGGTTAAATCTGTTGTGTAATGTTTTACTTCAGAGAAGTTTCAAAGGCAAAAGTTAAAAATAATTCTGCTTAAGATAATTTTTGGAATACATCACTGAAGGAAAATATTGCCAAAATAATTAATTTTAGATACCGAGGAAACTTTTGGAATTAATGGTCTGCCATTCTGTGTTAAAAAATAATTTTAAATTAAAGTTTTAAATCATTAAGTAATTGTTTTTTAAAAAAATTTCCATGAAAGATGTTTTCGTATACATAAAATACATTGTGTAGAAGAACTAAGATGCAGAAAAACTGAAGTATTTTAATATAAGGTCTTGATACTAATACATTGAGACAATTAAGAACACATCCAAATATGCTTTTTTTATTTTTATTTTTTTGGTGCCAGTATTGGGATTTGAACTCAGGAAACTCGAACTCTTGCTTGGCTTTTTCACTCAAGGGTATGGCTAAATGGAGAAGTCTTTCTGTCTGCTTCAAACCCTAGTCCTCAGATCTCAGCCTCCTGAGTAGCTAGGATTACAGGCATGAGCCACTAGTGCCTTGCTTTAAAAATACTTTTAGTATTGTATAGCTTAGAACTAAGGCTTTGATTTTAAAAAGCGAAACTAGAAATTTAATCTATTTTTAAAGACTTTAGTGTCAGTTACATGTAAAAACCAAAAAGTTTGTAAAGCAAAGACTGATACTAGCTTAGTTACTGTCTAGTATCATTCTCTTTCATTTTAAGTTATGGAAATTTATAATCTTAGAGGACTATCATGGCTAGTAATATTTACCATTGATTGGTGGGAGTCAGGTTCTTAGGCTAGCATTTTAAACATTTTGTAATTGCTAGATGGTCAAACTGCTTAAAGCTTTGGACTACATGTTACATTTTCAATTTACTGTTTAATGACAAGAACTTACCCAGTCAGTGTGTATGTGTTTGTGCGCGTGCTCATGCGCCCGTGCACGCACGTGTGTGTGTGTATGTGTGTGTGTATGTGTGTATATGCACACGTACACATTCATTCAGATACCCTTTTGGGTGGGGAGGGAAGCTCAGCTGTCTGTCAGAAAAGCTTTTCGCTTTATTTCCATCAGGGTTCCGATAAAAAATAGCCAGTACTCTTTCTTGATGAAGTTGATGTTGATCCTTGTATGTTTGTGTTTTGCAATGATTTAAAAGTTTAAAATTTAATTACAGTGCTAGTTCGAGCAATACATAGGAATTCTGTTTAGGATCCAAATTTAATACATGTAAAAGCACTGGAGACTCATTTATGGACGTTTTATGAACCAGGTTTAACTTGCTGTGTCTACTAAAAGTCTTCATTTTTTTTTCTTAAGGGTCCGGTCATGGGGTCTGAACTCTGGGCCTGGGTGCTGTCCCTCAGCTCCTCAGCTCAAGGCTAGCGCTCTACCACTTGAGCCACAGCACTACTTCCGGCTTTTTTCTTTTCACTTATGTGGTGCTTAGGAATCAAACCCAGGGCCTCATGCATGCAAGGCAAACACTGTACCACTGAGCCACCTTCCTAGCCCCAGTCTTCATTTTTTTTAAGGGAAAGTACGAGAAACTTTTTCTGGTGACTTATTTAACTTATTTATTCAGTTATTTATTATTTAGTTCAGATCATCAGTAAAAAGTGTAAAGGGTACCTTCCATTGGGTTCAGACTTTTGCTGTTGTTGCTGTTGTTTGTGGAACTTGAACTCACAGCCTGGGCACTGTTCCTGAGCTCTTTTGCTGAAGGCTAGCTTTGTACCACTTTGAGTCACAGTGCCACTTCCAGTGTTCTTGTGCTTAGTTGGAGATGAGACTTTCCTGTCTGGGCTGGTTTGGAACCTCAACCCTCAGAACTCAGCCTCCTGCATAGTTAAGGTTATAGGCATGAACCACTAGGATCTGGCAAGTTCAGTTTTTTAGCTGGAACTCAGTATTGCTTTATAATTCAAGCAATGACCAGCTTTTAAAGAAAAATTGGAATAGTCCATTAGTTTTTATTAAGACCAAGTATTTCATAGTTTCTATAATCTCCTTTAGAAAGATTATCTGACAGCTCTGATTTAAGAATCACATGTTAGAACAGAGAATTCTGGAAAAGAAGAAATGCCTTTGCAAAATAACCAAATAAATGACATGGAAACTAATTCTTTTTTGAAGGGGCAAACTTTTTTTCTTTTTCTTTTCTTTTTTTTTTTTTTTTGCCAGTCGTGGGGCTTGAACTCAGAGCCTGGGTGCCGTCCCCGAGCTGCTTTTGCTCAAGGCTAACACTCTTACCACTTGAGCCACAGCTTTTTCTGTTTATGTGATGCTGAGGAATCGAACTCAGGGCCTCATGCATGCAAGGCAAGCACTCTACCACTGAGTCACCTTCCCAACCCCAAGGGGCAAACTTTTGGAGATAACGTGAAATGAACAAGTCAGACATACAACTCAATATATTTCTATAACTCTCAGTACATATTGTAACTAGCACCTAGTTAGGGTTCAGAACATTTTCAGCACCCCATAAATCACCCTCCTGTCTTGTCTTCCTAGTCCTTACTCCATAAGTGACAAAGTGACTTCTTTCACTATAGCTTGGAAACTTTACACAATTTATATTCTTTGTTACCAACTTCTTTAACTCTGAGATTTAAACATGTTACTTTTAATAATCATTCTCTTTGAATGCCAAATAGTATTTCATTGTGTATGTGTATATACTTACATGTAAACATTAACACAGACATACAAATTATATATCCATTTTATAGTTGATGAACATTTGAACTGTTTTTAATTTTAGAGCAGGTGTTATGGACGTTCTTATACATGTCTTGCTATATATACACATATTTGCGTTTTTGTTTACTACAAGAGAAGCATAGACAAGTTATAGCATAGACAACTACCAGCCAGGTTTCTACAGCTACTAAGATGTTTAAGTCTAGTAGCATGTGTGTGAGAACCCAAACGTTTCCATTGTCAAACATTTCTATAAACTTTAAGGCTTTAACTCTGAGAACATTACTGTGCTTAGATAATGCTGTACTAGCATAAATAAATGACTCTAATGACTTAACTTCTGTTTTTAGATATGGCTCGTGGACAGCAGAAGATTCAGTCTCAGCAGAAAAATGCCAAAAAGCAGGCTGGACAAAAGAAGAAACAAGGACATGATCAAAAGGCTGCTGCCAAAGCTGCCTTAATATACACCTGCACAGTCTGTAGGGTAAGGGGGCAAAAGACAGTTTTCTTGTGGGTACTTGTTTTACTGTAAACTGGTTCTGATAGGTTAAAATATTGGAACCATGGCAAGTAGATGGTTTATTTAAAATGGCACATCTGAGAGCTGGTTATTTTGGAAATGCATTTTCTTCACCACATTCAGCAAATACTTTTGCCTGGCTTCTGTGGCCAGGTATACTTCCCTAAGTGTTAGGGAAAAGGAGAGAAGAAAAAAATTCTTTTTCTTATGAAGAAAGGCATCTTCTTAAGGACAGTATATACAATTGATTTCAAATTTTATAAGAAAGTCACATAATCCTTAGTTAGATCTTTGTATGAGGCTGTCAGAAACACCTCTGGTTATTGTATGATTTTTTTCCCCCCACTAAACCAATATTTAGGGTGTGTATTAACCCTACGTACAATATATTCATGTTAAAGGCTCTGAATAGAATTAATATATTCTACAAATTTGAAGAGTAGAAAAGAAGTAGTTCTGTGTGGTGCTTATCCTATACCAAACACTGATGGGGGTGGGGGGTTTAGCTATATCTACTCAAATTTAATTTGCACAACAGCCCTATAAGTTATAGTGCTTTTAGTATTATACAGAAGAGTAAGTTGAATTATGCAATCAAATGACTGTGGGTAATCCAGCTAGTATGTAGAAAGCTGATATCTGAAGCAGGCAGTTTTATCCTGGACTACTATTCCACACTACCTTTCAAAGAAGTGCTTTTAGAGTCTCAAGTCAGACTTCTTTTGGCTTGTTTGTGTAAGCTCACTACCTTTGGAGTTAAGGAATGGAAGTGACAAAGAGAAAAAGTGTAGTATGGTTGGACCAGTATTTATACCCACATACAGAGTAGGATTTTTTTTTTGGGGGGGGGGTGGGGGTCCAGTCGTGGAGCCTGAACTCTGGGCCTGGACACTGTCCCTCAGCTCTTCAGCTCAAGGCTAGTGCTCAACTACTTGAGCCACGGTGCCACTTCCGGCTTTTTTCTTTTTGCTTATGTGGTGCTGAGGAATCGAACCCCGGGCCTCATGCATGCAAAGCAAGCACTCTACCACTGAGCCACCTTCCCAACCCCAGAGTAGGATTTTGAGAGCTTGTTTGGAGGTTCTAGCAGGGGAATGCAGCTACTCTTATACCCTTGACCGAAGACCGGTCCTCCTCTATTGGGGATGGTCGTCCTCTTCTACCGAGCGCGCAGCTTCGGGAGGGACGCACATGGAGCAGTGAGGGAGGAAGGGGACACCCGCCTAGCCAGCCAGATCAGCCGAATCAACCGTGGTGATCAATGGGGTGACTGATGTCACAGCCGGATCACCCTCACATCCCAGAGTAGGATTTTGATAGAAGACAGAGTTTGTCATCTTTGGAGCCATTGCCAGTTAAATCAAGTATTTAACTGTACAAAAGTTGTCATTAATCTAAGAGTAAGGGAATCTATTACTCTCAATATCTTATTTAAAAATCAACTAGGGGGATGACAGAGTGACAGGGGAATCTGGTTAGCATGCATTGTTTACATGTAAGCAAGCTCTCCTGGTACAAATAATACAGGCTTATTAAAAGTAAACTATGTAGCTTTTTATATTGAGCTTTGAAATCCTCAGAATAATGAAATTAAGCAGCTTCTTGTTCTGTTTGGAAAGAGTGAAAACAAATTTCATTAGTATAGTAATGAACTACTTTAACCTGAAAGTACAAGAGTAGTTGACATATTTAAAAACAAAAAACCTTGCTAAGGGAAGTGATGACTGTATAGTATATTATTTGAAAGCTGAAGTATTTGTTACTGAGTTAAAACACAGATCTCAGGCAAAGTAAACTCAGGTTTTACTGTATGAGGATGATAGGAACTAGAGATTACTGTGAAGGAAATCTTTTATAAGAATTCGAGAAGAATTAAAGTAATACATTGTCTGTTTGGTGTTAATAAGGTAATCACAATATTCTGTACACATTTTTCCATATCTGAAAATGTGGGGATGTTAGGAACGTCTTTTTCTTAAAGTCCTGCTTCATATACAAATCAGTAAATTTTAGGACTTTGTAGAATTCTGATGATTTTCTCTCAAGCAATTTCAGAGTTTTAAAACACAGTTTGTTTTTATTTCATATATAAAGTCTGGCTGGGTTTTGTTTTTGTTTTTTGCACAATTTTTAGACACAAATGCCAGACCCTAAGACCTTCAAGCAGCACTTTGAGAGCAAGCATCCTAAGACTCCACTTCCTCCAGAATTGGCTGATGTTCAGGCATAAAGTTGTTTACAGGTAACTAATTTTTTTTTCTCTTGGTTTGTGTCAGGTTTTAATATAAGAGTAATACAATTTTGTAACAAATTAATTTCTGCCTTCTGAGACTTTATTTTCCCTATTGAAGTTAATATTAACTACATTACTAGTGCTTAAACATGATTTCAAGTTCTCTTCCTTCATGATTGTTAAAAGTATTTCCCAGACCATTTCCTTTCCATGTGTTTGAAACATCCAAGTTTTGCTATTATAGTCAAAATTAGGGGGGAATGCATGGAAGCTGGCCAGCCCTGGACCCCAAAGCTGCAAGAAAATAGTTATTGAAAAGTATCTGAGCTGGGTGCCAGTGGCTCATGCTTGTAATGTTAGCTACTTAGGAGGCTGAGACCTGAACATCTTGGTTCAAAGCCAACTCAGGCTGGAAAGTCTGTAACCACCAAAAAGCCAAAAATGGAGCTGTGGTTCAAATGGTATACTTCTATTCGTGAGCACCAAAGCTTAGGGACAACGCCTACACCCTGAGTTTAAGCCCCAGGACTGGGGGAAAAGTATTTGAAGGTCTTCCCTGTAGAAATGATACAGAATAACTTCCTGGTTATTTTACTTCTAGTGAATAGCAGTGCTTCTAACTAATTAAATTATAGTATAAAATATAGGCAAACGCTATATAAACTTGTCTTAAAATAATCAGTTTATTCTTTCTGTGTGTTTGGTATTTCCTCTGACCTAAATGGTATTGTTTGTTTGTTGAGAATTATTTTTTTAAAGTATATTCGTATCACATCCCATTGGCAAATCTCTCAGTGACTGATTGATACTTGATACTTCAGATACTTGAAGTTCATTATTAGTTGCATTTGTTCACTGTAAATTTTTCCTTATGTTTTATAGGTGAATTCATGACACCTTGATTCTTCTACTGTCTCAGACCTTAGGTAACAAACCTGCAGCTGCTTTTCTAACAAACTGTTGATCAGCAAAAATAAAGGGGCTACAGAAACACTCATTTTTATGCTGTTCCCTTTTGAGCTTCATGCAAAGACAATTCTGTGTAAATGTACAGTTGACTCTGATTTGGAAATCTGAAAATCAGTTCATCCTTGTTAAAAAAAATTTTTTTACAATGTAATTATATTGATGTTCATATTGTGTAAAATAACTCATTTAATAAAGTAGTACTTTGATTTTACATCACAGGACACATGGTTCTAGAAATTCTGTTCTAACTTTTCTTATTTGCCTTTTAAGAATCTAATAATTCCTTAGCTAAAATTGCAAGTACAATTCTTATCTCCCTTTCTCATTTATTCATTAAAGATTCATTTGTTAAGGTAGTGTATATGATTTTAATGGCAGCTGATGATGTAGGTTGAAGAGTAACTTACCTGCTGCCTTAGTATATTGCAATTATGTGCCATTGCTCACCTTTGATCATTTCCTGTGTTTGAAGTTAGAATATTTAAGCTTGATGTAACTAGTTCTAGCTGCCAGCCAAGGTTGCCTGTAAACTGTGATTGGATTGTCAGTGAACTCTTCTGAAAGATTAGGTTGTGAATTGTATGCCATAATGATATAATCATTAGGCCAGTTGTTTAACAGAAAATATGATGGGAACCAATGTGAATAGGTAAAGATCTGCATTTTATAAAGTCCATGGGATTCTTTGCAAATCGTTCAAGTTCCTTAATTTGAAATGGGAACAACTTCTGAGTTTTTGGAAGTTGCTATTTGGCCAATTTTATGAATGGATTTTTGCATTTAACAGGAAGATTAGAATGATTTATGGCTAGATAATTCTGGAATACTCCCTCTCCTTTCTACACTAAGTAAAATATTCATTTTAGGGATTTACTTGTGTTGGTTCCTAAAATCAAAGCCTATTTGTACAGTATGATTTCCATCTGAACTAGAAAAGTATTAAAGTAGGCCAATATCCACATTCTTTTGGCTCTGCCTATGGGGAAGTAGTTTTGTTGAGCTGGATGAGGTAAAGCCTACTCAATTAAGCAAGACTAATTTTAGTGTTCTTTTAATTTGCTTTTATCAACTATTATGCAAGTAAAACTGCTGTAGCTCAGTTTGAAATTGAAAAGTAACATAGCAGGAAGACCACTAGCTGCATGTCTGATCCTGTGGATGACAAAATGCATTCCCTCATGCTCTATGTCATCACTGCACTTGTTTTGTAGCTTTGCTTACTCTTCCCACCGTGTTTGTCTTCATTGTAAGTTGGAAGTAATTGATTTGTAAGGAAAGCTTCAATGCCCGTTTCTTAGCAGCTCCTGTTCTTAGACCGTATTTTTAAAAATGTAGTCCTTTTGTTTCATGTATTTAATTTCCTAAGTTTCATACTTAGTATCTAATGTTTCCTAATATGTCAATTACCAGAACATTAGAATTTTACCTGATTTCTTGTGGCTATCACAAAAGTTCTGGTTAAATTTCAATCTAAAATTTAAAAATTTGAATTTTAAAAAGTACTTTGAGCATATGTATGTTTATTTTTAGTAACAAATCATTTAAAACCCCTCACAACTTTTGGTTGATTTTTTTTTTTCTGATGTAATTTAGAATAAAAGCTTTTTGTCCTTGTATTCAACTCTTTTATAAGCAGCTGAAGACACCATATTTAATTCTATCTCAGTGACAGGGAAAGTAGTTGGCTCAATCTAATATGAGACAGTAGTTCTTAATATTGGGATCATTAGTGCATTTCCCTTTTAGTCTGTATGAGTTAAATCTGCTATATGGAAAAAATTACTACAAGTCTTAAACATCTTTATTACTTAATTGAAGATTCTTTAACAGATCACCGCAGAATTTGTTTTACAACTATTATGGTGTCTTCAAAGACTTAAAATACACTGAGAGAATTGGTCCATTTTGTACTCTGTATTTACATTAGTTGCCAAAAGGAATGGGGTTAAGATTATACTTGTTTCCATTCTCTACCTATGGATATGCATCCCCATGTTTAACTGACATGGGGTCCCAGTTGTGTGCTGAAATGTCTTATTAAAGAAGATGTTAAAACTAAAGTAGTCTTAATTTCTTTTGCATTTTAAGAGGTTTTTATATTGCCTCTACTTCCCCTGCCCTTCTTTCTATACTTAAAATTGTCTTTTGAGTGTAGCTCAATAGTACTGAGTGACAAGAGGTTTAATTTTTCATTGTTTCCCTGAATTCTTTGTCTGAGTCTCTAGAATACTTCTTGAAAATAAACTGAGAAAAGTGGTCATTTTGAAATAAATGTGGGGAAGTAATTGACATAAAAATAATATGCAGACAAATGTTTAGTTAGTTCATTGAATTAGACATTGACTAAGATTTGAGATAACTTTATTAAACTTAATATTGAAGAATCTATAAGTAATCACAATATAATTCAAATCTTGAATATAGCATTATTTAAAGTGGAGCTTACCAACATTTTTGTTTACCCCCCAAAACCCCTTTATTTTTTATTTTTGTTAACGTATAAAATATCCTGTGCCTGTTTTGAAATGTGACTAATGCAAAGGCCTCTGAATACTGAAAAATAACTGAAATGCCATGTTTAAATTACTCAGTATGGATTAATTGGTTCTAGTTTTCTAATTTGGGGGCTTTCTGTTGTCCTTGTTTATAGAGTATATTAATGAAGATCAGCACAAAGGAGGTGTGTTAACTGACTTTTACATCCTGACCTAGTTCAAGCTATCCTAATTTTACCTCAGAGCTTTCAGAAAACTTGTAAGAGCTTTCACTGTGGATTTAATAAAACATCTGTCTACTAGACTGGGAAAACAGATGTTTTATTAATAGAAGTTCATCCTGTTAATATTATTGATTACCATCTTAAAACTAAAGTATCTTTTTGTTTTAAATGTTCTTTCATTTTTTTTACTGTTACCATTTTTCCCCCCAACCATTTTTAGCCTTAATTTTTTTGTATATATATGCCTTTAAATCTAAAATCTCTTATCTACAGGTAGACTTCAGTTTTTTTTTTTATTTTCAGTATGAAGTAGTTAAATCATTACTTTGTAATCAGTTTTTATGTATTATTAGTATTATTGCATTTAATGGCCTAGATGATATAGGTCAATTAGGTATCTCAGATTCAAGATGGGAATTGCATTTTTGGAATCTGTTAAAATTCAGATTGCCAGAAAGTAGATTATCATCTTTCCCTTACAACAGTGTGGATAGGTTCCTCAAAATAAAGTATATGATTAGGATGACCTTAAGTCCTGTTTTGCACAAAACAACCTTAGTTCAAATAGTTTAATATTAAATATAGAGTTAATAATAAACATTATGAAATAGTAAGGTAGTACTTCCTTTTACTTACATACTAACCAGTTTCTGTGTCACTTGTGTCGGACAGATGCTTTTTTTAGATGTAGAATTTTGAGATTTTTATAATGCCAGAAACTCTTACTCAAGCGAGAACACAAGATACTGGTATTTTGTTGTATTTTCTTTATTGAGACAGGGTCCCTCTGCGTAGCCCAGGCTGGTCTGGAACTCAGTGTAGCCCAGGCTGTCCTTGAACTCAGTGGACATCTTGATTCAGCCTCCCAAGTGGTAGGACTTCAGTATACCACCTGCCCAGCACAAGGTTTGTGTTTTAACCCTTCATCTTAAAATGTTTTTAATCCTACTGACATTTAGATACCTAATAAAATGAATTAGGTTCCATCAACATCCCATTTGAGATATTCATATAAATTTTACCAAGTCAGATAATTCCTTCATTGTCTTTCACCCAAAGGATTTATGTACAGTGGCCAGTTGGAATGAGAGTACTGCGTGTGGGCACAGAACACTTTCACTGATGCAGGAAGGAGAAATCAGCTACAAATTCTGGGCTTTACTATTGAGAACTTTAACAAATCTTTCTTTTGGAGAAGAGGACTTTACATAGATTTGAATTCAGGACCTACCCTACCACTTGAGCCACAGCTCTAGCCTTTTTTGCTGATTATTTTTCAGGTAGGCCTCATGTTTTTCCCCAGGACCAGCCTTGGACACCATTCTCCTACCTGTGGCCTATGTAGTTGCAATGACAGGTATGGTCCATTATACTTGACTTGCTTTGCTGAGGTGGAGTTTGCCTGACTCTTTGCTTCAAACCTCACATTTTCTGCTTCCCAAATAGTTGGAATTATAGCTTGAGCCTAAAATTTTCTTTTGAGAACATCTTAATTTTGAAATAATTTCAGACCTGTGGCAAAGGTCAGTATTTTTAATATTTTATTCATCCAATTGGCAGTTTCCCATAAATCTTACATTACTATAATATTTGTCAGAACTCAGGAACCAGTATAAGTGTATTTCTGTTATCTCCAGTTTTTCCATAATTGCCAGTTTTTCTGTTCTAGGATCTAAGCCAGAACACCATATAGTTCTCAGTTGTCATTTCTCAGTCATCTTTGCTGTGTGGCAATTTATCAGTCTTCCCATTGGTTTTTGTGACCTTGGCGGTCTTGAGGTACAAATGGTAGATGTAATAGAATATGCCTCTCTGGATTTATTTGGTAATTTTTCTCCTGGTTTCACTAGTATAACATGGATTTTTGAAAGGAGACCACAGAGGTAGGTAGTACCCTTCTCATCACTTCATCTTGGGGACACATGTCATTACAGGTGTTCCTAGTAATGCTACCCTTCATCACTTGTTAAAAGTAGTGTCTACCAGGTGTCTGCACTGGGAGGTTACTGGTTTCTCTTTTCCTTGGGCAGTTTTGGAGACATAAGTACAGCTCTCACTTAAAACGCATAGACTAATTTAATTTTACACTCGTCAGAGGACAGAGTATGTAAATTTGGAGTTCTTTCATAAAAATTGTTTTTCTTCCCATGTATTTCCTCCCATATATTTATTTACATACATATATTCGTATGAACTCATCATCCAGTGGCACATTACTTTGTTGCTCATATCATCCTAGCTTTGTTATTAAGGAATCTTCCAGGTTATTGTCTATGTCCCTTCTATGTGCTCCATCCTTCTGTTTTGCTTTTTCAGATTTTTTTTTTCATGTTTAATATTGTAAGATGCTCCAGGCTTATCTAATGTTTCCCTGTTCCAGCTGTATAATGCATCATTTTCCCAGAGATGCCTGATTTATTTTATTGAATTGTATTTATTTTATTGAATAGTATTTAGAAATGTAGATCCAGTGTGTTGAGTTTGCTTGGAGATTTTTAGTTAGGAAACATTGAATTTTTTCTGCCATTAGCTGATTGAAGATTGTTGTAAGATTATCCTTGTCATAGATCATTTGGAGGTGAGCGCTGAATAAGTTTTCCATACACATTACTGAAGCCTTTGCATTTAAGTGACAAACGTATTTATTGAGAATAATATATATCAAGTTGCTTTGTAAGCTGTAAAGCACTATATAAAAGCAACATATTACATGAAGAAATAGAGCAAAAGTCTATTCTTTAGGAATAAAAATATATTCTGGAGATCATGCATATACATAATTTCAGGGCAGATGGTTAAGTGCTTGGCATATTGTTTAGATGGTAACTTTGTGGGAATATAGATGTGATAGAACATCTAATGGAGGGAGATAACTATCGCTGAATTGGCCATTCATGTTAGAAAGGACAGGATGGTGGAGAGAGGATTAGGAACAAATGCTAAAGGCAAGGTGCTGGAAGCTGAGTGAACAGAAGCTTAGACTAGTACATAATGTGTCTTTGAGAGAGAGTGAGTGGGCCAGTCAGAGCTTCAGCTTGTGAATGAGTGCCTTTGAGCCCATGAATTAAGAGTGGGGAAGAAATCATTCGAGTGGGACCAGATTGTACAGTGTGTATACTGCAATAAATCATTCAAATTACTTTTGACACTTACCCCTTGGGTCCAGAGCAAGGGGTAATATGATACAGGGATGTTTGGAAGATTTACTTTTGCAGATGAAAAATTTGATACTGTTTCCATGGAAATGATTTTTTTTTTAATGGAGATTATTTTTACACTTTTCTACCTTCCTTGATTGATTACAGATAGTCCTTTATATGATTTAATAAGTTTTTAAGGTAATTGGGAATACAGATTAACAGAAAGAATTTTGCTGTATAATCATATGCAATACTGGGGTCCAAAGAGCTGTATTTAAGAACATTTACATATGCATTGAATGATGCCATGCTGCCCTTCCAGTACATGGTGTTGTCACCTACTTCATTTTAAGAGTCATATATTTCATTACATAAGAGAAATTTGGAGAATATAGTAAGGTTTAATTTTAAAATTTTATTATGGCAAAATCTTTTTGGTGAATAGTATCTGTCTTACACTTAGGCAGACTTGACCTTGGCTCTTAAGTATACATAGTAATTTTGTAGTACTTTAAAAATATTGTGTATGTACTGTGCTGTTTATTTAACATGGTAACAAGTGGACTTTAGTTTCTCTGTTATAAATGTTGTGCAAATGTGATCTTCTGGGTAAATTGCTGTAGTTTGAGCCATACCTCATGTTACTGGACATTTAAATTTTCTCTTTTATACAGATGGATATTTTCCCCTACATTTAGAACTTTATATTATAAAAATGTAAATGCTGGGCATCAGTGTTCCAAACATGCAATCCTGACTACTCAGAACACTGAGTTCTGAGGATCATGATTCGAAGCTAGCCTAGTCAGAAAAGCCTATGAGACTGTTACCTCCAAAAAGTTGGAAATGGAGGTGTGTTTCAAGTGATAGAGTGCCAGCCTTGAATGAAAAAGCTAAGAGAATGCTTAGGCCCTGAGTTCTAGTTTGAGTACTGGCAAAAAAAAAAAATCTTGAAATATTTTTATGGGAAATGTATACATAAGTACATGTATACATATACATACATAGTCATATACACACATTTTTTGTGCTGTTTTGAGACACAATCTGACTGTATAGCCTAGACTGTTCACTGTATAGCCCAAACTGCCTTTAGAGTCTTAATTCTCCTTTAGCCTCCTGACTGCTGGAATTACAGGCATGTACCACATGTTTAACTTTATAATAGTTTTCTTAAGGTAGAGAATGAGAGAGA